TTAGGGTTTAAGGCTAAGGTTTAGGGTTAAGGGACAATGCCCATTAATCCAATTGTAGATCCAATGTAATCTCAGTTCCGCGCGCTTTCCATGCTTCTTTTCCATGTGCTTCTCCCATTACCGCCCCGAGTCCCGAACCCTATATGAGCTATAGGCTAAACTCCTTAAAGGGGGTTACATAGGGGATTATATAGGGGACTACTATAGGGGTTCTTAAGGGGGATACTAGGAGTTTAGACTATAGCTCATATGTCCAAATAGAACCCCTGCAACCGGCGCACGTATCATTTCTACCCATAAGAACTGTAGGTTGAATCAATTACAGTGTTTTCAGCCTCTAAGTAGTCCTTGGGGAGGTGACCATATATATATATACATATGTTTTTATAAATACATATTGAATTATCTGTAATTCCAGAGTCCATTACACTTCTCATTTGATTCTCCTCTATTCTCAGTTCGCCGGCCCTTAAACCTCAAGCCTTCAAGGTTTATATGTGCCCCAGCCAGCCCTACTATAGTCCCCCTTAAGTAGATAGAAAATGGGGTATATGGGGATCTAATAATGATATACCCAAAGCCATATTCTATCTACCTAAGGGGGACTATAGACCCCAAACCCTAAATAGTAGTTTCCATTTTCTTTTCCATTATCCCTATATAAACCCCATATTCTATCTACTTAAGGGAGACTACCCTAAACCCATGTTAAACCCTGAAGGAGGATGCAGCACAGGCGGCCGTGTTTTCGGCTATCACTCGCGACGCCGTGCCCTGCGATCCTTGGAGCTTGTGGGTACTTCGGAAAGTTGAGGGCTTCAGGGTTTAGGGTTTAGGGTTTAGGGGGATAAGTGTTTAGGGCTACCTTGGGTTATTACGAAGGATTTAGGGATTGAGGGTTTGGGCTTACTTTGCTAGGCGTTGATGGATTTAAGGGTTGAGGGTCTTGGGCTTGGAGTCTTAGAGGTTAGGGTTTAAGTGTTCAGAGTTTGGGCTTCGAGTTCAAGGTTCGGGCTTCACGGGACTTATATGCCCACCTAAACAAACCCTACCAGTCAAGAACCTGTGCCCACCCCCGACTTGGGGAAGCTGGCAGGAAGGGCTGCATGCATGATTCAACACCCCCCAGCTGCAAGCGTGCAGCGAGACTTGCATCAAATGATGCCAGCATGCTATCTTCTCCTAGGATGCTGCCCGCATCCCGGCCCAATGCACCTACAACCAGAATAACAGGCTCCCCTCCCCAAAGGGCCCTTCCCGCAGTTTCATGACCTGCTACGCGACCACAGTACTGTGGTGACAGTTTGGGCGCCGTTGATTGGATGTATTTGTCGCAGGTTGTGATTGCTAACTACCAGCTTGTTTGTGAATGATTGTTATGATTCATAGCTCACTTGAATGCACACCCGTACTAAGCCACAGCCACCCCATGCACTAACAGTTCCCAATGAGCCCCACAGTAAGCTTTCGTATACCCGTCTTAAACTTTTATGGGACCGTGAAGCTATCATGGCCCATCCTACGTAGTGAGGCGTAAAATCACAACCCCGAAGAACACCGGTCGCTGTAGTCTCCCAACAGTCCTCATTCAGTTGCAAAGGCGCTCTGTCCGGAAAAGGGCAATTTGCCAATGTGAAGGCACAGGTTTGGAACTGAGTGTACGGATCTATGTGACAACGGTAGTCACTCATCATTCTGCTTCATCAGACTCATAGCCACGGTACCATATCACCAACGGAAGAGAGATCCCAATACATACCACCTACTACAGCCCAACAATTTCGAAGAAAATCCTAGGCTAAACGCTTTAGATCCTACACAACATAGCGACACCCCAAAGCGTGCATGAATATTCCAATCCTAGCTTGTAGGGGACGAGATCCTCTGCCTATGATAGTACCTGTACTCCACCCACTTCCCCTTATGCCCCAGCAAGTTTAGGAGACAGTTTTGTTTATGATGTATGTTTTCGTCATGCCTACTGTTGATACCTGCATGACCTTAGTATAACATTGTCACAGAAATTTGGGTGGAATCCCTCAGCCCTAACCCATAGCATTTAGACCCTAATATGATGACCGTATACATCCCTAGACTTCCATCTTATATCAACAAGTATCATCATGCCATCTGAACATGCTAAGGAGCTGGTTCCCTGCAAAACCCCGCAGGCCGCCATGGAATCTTGTCTTAAAGTCAGGACGTCTTTGCTGGTAACATTAATTGTAACCACAATATTACCAAAATTACAGGTAGAGCTAGAAGCCGAAGTAGTAGTAGTAGTAGTAGTAGTAGCAGCAGCAGCAGCAGCAGCAGCAGCGGCAACAGCGGTCATCGTTGTAGGCTATACCTGTAACCCCGATTACCTACAGCTTAATAGTAATCACCCCTTAATTAAAAACGATAAAGCTGTAGGTAATTGGGGTCCTGGGCCTGTCTCTGCAGGATCCTTGATGCCCACTTCCTAGAACTTATCAGCCCCTTTCGTAGTGTCATACCCGGGCCAGTCTCTGGCTGCAGAGAGATTTGCGGCTCATAAGAGGCTTCAGCCATTCGGCGGCCGGACATGAAGAGTTCAGGATGGAGGCTTTAGGTTTTAGTTCTTTGGGATGCTTAGGCTTTCAATGTTGGAGGGTTAAATGATCCAGGTTATGGACTTGAGAGAGTTTAGGTTTCAGGTTGCGCTGGGAGTTTGGATTGGAGCTTACTTGAGATGTTTTTTTGCAGGATTGAAAGGGTGGACCCTCCTTTACACTCAATCCGCCCCAGAATCCTCTAGTAGAGCTTTGCATAAGCTATCCTATAATATCCTTCTATAACATTGTCTATCCCTTATTAGGTATCTTCATACAATCCAAACGTCCCTACATAGAAAAACCCACCAGGGGATCCCGATACTTTCCCCGTAACTCCCATGCATCCTCGGGGTCCTGGAGGGGCGCTTTCTGGGCTGTAAACGGGCCTATAGCCGTTACACGAGGGTTATTTGCTGTCATACAAGGGTTATATGGAGATATATTCAAGATTATAAGGAGACATAGGACTTAGAGTTTCGAGAAAACCACCATTGGGTTTTTGTGGGAGACTTGCACAGTGCATTGTTTTTTGTTCATGCTTGCCATGCACTCAAAGAATCAGGAATGATCATAGCAGTCATTGTACTCAACTGTGTTTTTCCTTATATCCTGGCTGCCCCAAAGCTGCATTTGTTTCTGTTTGTTAACGTAGAATGAGGAAGGACTCCGTATAGTAGTCCCTATATGTTCCAAAGTAGTGCAGTACTTTCAGTCTGTTTCCTTGCTGTCAGTCTTCCCTTCAACAGCCAGCAACGGGGTTCCGCTTGCATCTGAGGACTGGCTCAAGGACAAGGTGCCGAGCCAGCTGGGAGGAACTGTTCTTGGGAAGGGTGTGTTATTCCGGTTTAGGCTTTAGGGCTTAGGGTAGTAGCCCAATGATCAATGTTTCAGGGGTTAGAAGCATATATGTTTGTATATACACATAAGTAGAGTCTAGGGCTGGGGTAACTATAACCCAGCTATAAGTGTAGTTATCACCCAATCATAACCATCATAACCATACTTGGGCTTGTGGATTTATCTGATTTACTTTTGATTTTTCTATACTCCCTGCGTTATCCTACACACTAGACTCTTATAAGTAGGTTGTAAGTATCCCAGCCCCTCCGAGGTGTAGGCGAGGCAAAAGTCTCCCCTCGTTCTGCACCCCATTTTGGGTTGAAGGTTTAAGGATTTTTTGTCACCATTGTATTGGGGTAATGAGTGGGTGAGAGTTTTAATAGGGGAGGGGATTGGGGTAGTGCTCCTGGGTTTATGTGAGTTACAGAAATCTCATAACAGATTGTGGAGGCTTCAAGGCTCTGGTGGTTGGCCCCAATATGAGCTATGGTCGAAACTCCTAGTATCCCGCTTAGGAACCCCTAGAATTCTCCTCTATATCATCCTCTACATAAGCACCTTTAACAGAGTTTAAACACTTCGTGGGAATTCTGGAATCGGCATTTTGAACTAGAGAAGGACAAGTGCAAATCATCAATGATCCCTTTCTACAGGCTGCTACATGGTAGTTTCCCTATTTAGCCCTAAGCCTTAAGCCCTACATAGCCCCTAGAATGCCTTTAAAGGTACCCCTAATTTTGGGAGCCCCATGGTGGGTGCCAGGTGCCAGCACCAGCTGTCAGCGAGGCCCCGCAGTCGCCGCAAAGAGCGGCGGTCAGCTCGCCGGGGACGCTTGGGCGAAGTGAGTTTGAGGCTAGTCAGACCCTCTAAAGGATCCACAAAATGGAGCCTCCCAATATGGGTTTAGGATTTAGGGTTAAGGGTTAAAGGATGCAAAAATGGAACCTCCCAATAAGCCCCTAGTTTGCCCAAAGTAGTAATGGGTGTCTTTTTTGGGGGTTCCATTTTTTTGATATTTTAGGGGGTCTGGGTAGGCTATGTAGAGAGGGTTACAGTGTATGAGGTTATGGGGTCACATAATATAGGGTTATGAAGGGTAACCGATGGTTTATCCAGGGTTTAGGGTATAATTGGTTTTAAATGGCCATATAGCTATATAGGGTCTACATGAGGTTATACAGGGTAAGGGTAATGCCAGAGAATCAACTGGAAAAAGCGCATGAAAAATGACGTGGAAATTTCATGGAAGCAGGGAGAGAGTTGTATGGGGGTTGGCTGGGTACATAGTGTTGCTCAGGGATAGATAGGGATGTACTTATATTCGGATTATATTCGAATACTCGAATACTGGAGAGCCAAATCCAACATGAAACGAAAACTGGGATTATACAGCAGCTTATCGGGTCTCTAGGTACGAACAAACTCAAGTTATAACCAGTTTATGTCCTATGGCCTCTTGGACTCTTGTAATACACTATTTAGGGTTTCAGGTCTATAGGGTTTAGGGTACAGGCTTTAGGGCATGGAGTGTAGAGTTTCGGGTCTGGGTTTTGATTTCAGGGCTGTAAAGTTTCAGAGTTTATGGTTGAAATTTTGGCGGTTTTACAGGAGTAGCAATCTCCCATAGGCTCCCGACATAGGCCCCAAAACCTAAACCCTTGTCACTAAAGCCCCCAACCTAAACCCACATACAGAAACGACCCCAAAGGTGGAAGGTGGGAATAGTTCACTTGCGCGACCGTTCCATCTTTCTGGATCTGGGGGTAGGAGGATACCTAGCATTTAGGGTTTAGGGTTTAGGGTTGATGTTCCAGCTTTCTGGCTTCTACCTTAAAACTCTTAACCCCCTGGACTTTCAGCCCTAAACTCTAAACCCCCATCCCAAAACCCCACAGCCTGAACCCACGTACTGTAGAAGCCTAAATAATTACCAATATTATCCCCTCATAATCCCGATAAAATCATAAGCCTTATTCTAATTGAATAGGCCCCTGTATTACAGCCCCTAAACCCCAAATCCCTAAACCCTAGACCCTAAACCCCAAACCTTAAACCTTAAACCCTAAACCCTCAACCCTAAACCCTCAACCCTAAACCCCAAAACCCCGAAACCTTAAACCCCTAAACCCAACACCCTAAACCCCAAAACCGAAACCCTAAGCCCCAAAACCCATGGGAAGAAGCCGCTTGGACCCACAAAGCGAGGTTTGCCTCTGAAGCGGAGGTCCGAGCTCTGAAGCAGGCTGGGTTTAGGGTTTAGGGTTCAGGGTTTAGGGTTTAGGGTTTAGGGTTTAGGGTTTAGGGATTAGGGATTACCTAAACCCCAAAAGTATGTAAAATGATGGCCTTTTGGGCTATTATTTTGGGTTGAAGGCTATTATTTTACATACTTTTTGGGGTTTAGGTAGGGTTTAGAGTTCAGGGTTTAGAGTTTAGGGTTTAGAGTTAAGAGTTTAGGGTTTAGAGTTTAGGGTTTAGGGTTCAGGATTTAGGGTTCAGGGTTTACAGTCTAGGGTTTGCTGTTTAGAGTTTAGGCTTTAGGGTTTCGAGTTAGTAATTCGTAGCGTTTAGGTTTAGTATGAAATGGGCAAGAAAATGGCAGCTACTATAGACCGGAAGACTTTCTGAGAGGGGTCATAGGGATATCAGATGGACAGTTTCTAGGTTTGGTGAATGGGAAAGAAAATGGAAGCTACCATGTGGGACTTCGGGTCTAGGGTTAAGGGGTGGAGCGTGAATGGGGGCTGGAGTTCCGAGGTGCCAGATGGGTTAGAAAGATATTACAACATACCAAAAACTGAGAATCAAATGGAATAGGAAATAGAGAACGAAACGGAAACTGGGTTTCTGCAAGGTTTCGTTTGTTGATAGAATACTTCACATACCCAGACCCCCTAAAGGATCCAAAAGATGGAACCCCCCAAAATGACCCCCATTACTACATTGGGGAACCTAGGGGAATCTTAAGGGGTTCCATTTTTTGGATCCTTTAGGGGGTCTGGGTATTGAGCCAAATTAAGCTTCAATAATGGTGGCAGGGGTACCTCTCAAGGATCATGGAGGTTCATCTCAGGGTTTAGGGTTTAGGGTTTAGGGTTTAGGGTTTAGGGTTTAGAGTTTAGGGTTTAGGGTTTTAGGGTTTAGGGTTTAGGGCTCACAGTTTAGGGATTAGGGTTGTCTTATTGGCCGTTACTGTAGGGAGGAACGGACAAGAATCTAAAAACTAGCATTTAGGATTTACGGTTTTTGGTCTAGTGTTGCTAGTAGGGGGGTGGAGGATCAAATCGATAAACCCTATACCGGGTGTTGCAGTTTCAGGATGACTGTGAGGGGTGTACGGCTTACAGTACAGGGTATGGGGTTGAGGTTGGGTCAATCCCCCACCCAGTAATGGGTACGGTAACGGTTTGGGGTTTAGGCTTTAGGGTTTAGGATTTAGTTTGCCACAAGGGATTATTGTATGTTTATTAAGGCCCGAATAGCGAGCTTTTACTATAGGGGGGACTGACCTAAGGTTGAGGGATGTGAGTTTAGGTATGAGGTTTGCCCTAAACCCTAAACCCTAAACCCAAACCCTGTTGGATATCAGGTTTATGCTGCTGGGGCTTGCCAGCTTTTGGGACACGTGTTTGGGTTTTGGGACTACCTGGACCCCAAAAGTAGGTAAAATAATGGCCTTTTGGTCTATTATTTTGGTCTATTATTTTGGATTTAGGGCGATTATTTTACATACTTTTGGGGTTTAGGTAGGGTTTGCGAATCACTTGTTAAGGGTGGAGCAGATGGATTTATTTACATGATTGTTTGTGATGTGCTTGGCTGATACATGAGGCCAAACTTGGATGTGAAGTAATGAAGATTGTGCAGGGTTCGTAAACATTGTGGGTGCTCTGGGGACGATTTGTTGCATAGACACCAATGTTCCAGCGGTATGTGGGAGCATCAAATGGGGAAAGCCATCCGACTCTGTTGAGGGGCATTCGTACCGACCGCCATCATGCTGTCGTTAGTACGGAATGGGAGAATGGAGATCCTGATAGTAGCCCCTAGAAAGTCCCTAACATAGTGCCAGTAGATTCCCTTTTATCCTTCATTATTTCTTTCTCCACGAACCATTCAGAATGCTCAACCCCAATGTAAACCCTCTGATTTGATGAGTGGTTGTCATGCCCTTTTCCATTTCTTCATTTCCCAGTAGCAACCCGAGAAGCCATTAGGCTAGAAGCCCACGTGATACTTCCAGGAAAGCTTAAGCGAGACGCCCGAGGTTCAGGGTCTAGAGTTTGGGGTTCAGGGTGGATGGAGGAAATCTTGCATTGCCCAACTCACTGCAATTTCCTAAGTGTGGAGTATGTAAGGTGGCGCAAGGTTGCCGGAGCATCGGGTTTAGGGTTTGGGTTTAGGCTTACCCTAAACCCCAAACCCAAACCGCACAGAAATTGCAGAATGCGATGCTGAACATTGCAATGGTCCAAAGCCATCCTAGTCTGAGGCTTGCCACAGCACGCTGGAACACGACGTGATTATTCTATCTACTTAAGGGGGACTATAGGTCCTGGCTACTGGAGGTCTTTTTCCAAATTTGCCATGTTCCAGCAGGTTATTTTGCGCCTGAACCCTTACTATGACCCAATGATGAATCTCTCCTAGGTCTTTCATCTTAGCTTTGGTAGCTGGGAATGAGGGAATAGAAAGGAAAACGGAAACTACCAAAATGGGTTATATAGGTTTAGGATTTAGAAGGAATGGAAGAGAAAGCAGCAACTATTATAATGGGTCATATAGGGACTACTATAAGGAGGACAAGGTTCACTGCAGGATGAGCATTTAGTATTGAACATGGGACGCTCTAATATAGAGGCTTAAATTATTACCAATATTATGGTTCCTTTTTCCTTATATAAATATGGTCTACGGTACCTCAAATGGACATCAGCATGATATTTGTAATTAGTACGCCACTGGCCCATAGACCCCAAGCACATCGTCGGATGCCTCGGAAGATGGATCCCTCGGACTCATGTGAAACTGATCCCTTGTCTCACCATCCATCATCTACGACCCTCACCATGCTTCTTAAGTGGCATCTGTCAAAGTTCTGCATCCCCAGATGCTCCCAACTGACATGGATCTCAAAAGGCACCAAGGTTTTGAGAAGCCGCATGTATGTTGTTGCCTGCAGCCCGCATGCAGGAGTTGGCGAGACACCGCAGCAAGCAGCAGTATGTCCTCGAGCGATTGAAGATGACCCTCTTCTGACATGAGGATTTCCATGGCTACCCCAAGTCCCCAACTAGTGGCCTGCAGCGCAACCATCTTTGTCCCCAACTCTAATCTGTAATTAGCATGAGCAAAAACCGTTGAGATGGACAGTGATCAAATAACTGGGCAAATTGTGGCCGATAAAGAAAGAGTCCTAAGATAGCCATACTTCAGGCTTGGGACAAATCTGTTAATTTAGGGATAAGTCAGATACCTGCATGCATGTCCCACACGAGGACTTTTACCCTAAACCCTAAACCCTAAACTTTAAACCTTAAACCTTAAACCCTAATCCTTAAACCCTAACCCCTAAACCCTAAACCCCTAAACGAATTACAGCTGAGGCAGATCAAGATCGACGCGGCGCTGCAGAGCCAGGCTCTCCTTCTGGGTGGGAACGGTTCAGGGTTTAGAGTTTAGGGGGTTTAGGGCTTAAGGGTTTAGGGGTTGAAGGGTTTAAGGGTTTAAGGGTTTAGGGGTAAGGGGTTTAAGGGTTTGGGGTTTTGAGGGTTTCAGGGTTTAAGGGTTTAGATGGTATAGGGTTTAGGGGTTTAGGGTGTACGGGTTTAGGGGTTTAAGGGTTTATGGTTTAAGGGTTTGAGGGTTAAGGGTTCAAAGGTTTAGGGTCTAGGGTTGAAGGGTGTAGGGTTTAGGGTTTAGGCGGGGGAGTCTCAAGCTGAGTCCACCCCTATCTAGGTAGCCTTAAAGGTTTACGTAAATGCTAAATGCACAGATATGTCAGGTTTAGGGACGCAGGTGTCCGTAACTGTTTAGTTTAGATGGGTATACGGGCATCTGTATATGGCTGGGTTGGAGGTTTCGTGTTTCGGATACAGGCTTCGCAGGTTTCACAAAAGCGGGTGCCTTGAGGGACTGCGGGACATATGTGCGCATAGTCATACACGTACTTGTGGGCATAGGAGTAGTAAGCCATGAATGGTCTTGTGGAAGTATCAGAGTTTCCGGCAATCCCTTACGAACTTCCACCCCGCAACACCTTAGCCGCAGACTTGAAGTCCTAAACCCCAAGCCCTGGACAAAAGCTACGCTTCCCAATCATAATCCTGAGACCCGCAGCATAGGGTTTATGGTTTAGGGTTTTAGGGTTTAGGGTTGAGGTTTTAGGGTTTAGGGGGCTTAGTAGCCGCCTACAGCTCGGGTTTTCATCCCTCTTATCATTCGGGGCAGCTGTCGTAAGATCAGCTAAGGGAATACAAGTAGGGTTAGTTATAGGCCCAGAATACGTAGTGGTTCTTGGTAGGGAATGAGGGAATGTAACATAATCAATTTTCATGCTCTATATAATATATTTCCTGCTAAGAACCAGTAAGGTAAGGAGCTACAAAATTCCTTGACCCTCGTGTAGTCCGTCCTGCCCCAGACTGCCTCACCTGCCGCAGCTGGTGGCGATGCAAGGGGAGGCCCCCTGCTTGTCTCTTACTGGTTCTTAGTAGGGAAGTAGGGAATATAGTACTGGTTGTTAGTAGGGACTAGAAAATATGTAACATAGGGGTTATATGGGGATCACATTCCTTTATTCCCCACTAACAACCAGTAAGGTTTTGGTGGCCTTGTAGGAGTAGGTGTTGTTTTGCAGGGTTCTACGGTGGTTTGTAAGTTGAGCTCTGCACCATGAAGGAAATGCAGGAAAGGTGGTCCTTCGGTATGCGCAACGATTCTGGCCCTCTTGCGAGTATACATAGCGCTCCTTGATTGATCCTTGCTGGTTTGACAGTCTGGCCGCCTTAAAACCTGAAACCTGAAATCCTGAAAATCGAAGTTGCCTATTTTGCTGAAACGCCAAAGCCCAAGCATTCCAACTTGAACTTGGCAAGCCGTGGACCCCCTGCTGCGAGGCTCCCCGAGTCGCGCCTCATGATTTCGGGCGCTCTTGCCAGGATGTAAGTGCATCCTGATGGGCCAGTTCTGGGTTGCTGTTAAGGAACTTGGGTGTAGGGGTTTAGGGATATTATCCCCCCACAACGGAGAATCAAATGGAAGAGAAGATCGAACATGCAATGGAAACTGGTGTAGTATTGGGATTTAAGGAACTGAATTTTAATTACTATACTGGGGAAACCATACTAATTACTGTTTATACCCGTCATTGTAACTTAATTTAAGCTCCTTAAAAACAACCCAAAATTGCTCAACAAATGTCTTGAGGAGCTAGACCGTGCTGGTTCTAACGGGCTCTTCCTACAGACACTGCGAAGGAATCAAGAGACCTCTGGCAGAGACAGGCTGTTGCCTTGTAGGTTTAGGGCGGGCTCCCGGCAGCTGCTGCGGCAAAAGGGTGCAGGTTACGTACCCGAAAGGCTCAAAGTTATTGCTGCAAATTGCTGAAGCATCGCAAAAGGATGTATCATACCTCTAGATGCTGTGGGGTGTTTCAGGCACCCTCAAGTTCAGGATCAGCAGTTGCAACTCCGTTGGCATACTTAGCCCCAGCTTGGTAAAAAACGCGCTTGGCATACTCGAAGACTCCATAGCTATCACCACCTACCCAAAGAGCGTGTAAAGAGCGTGTCGAAGCTGATTTGCTTAGCTCCGGGGTCATCTGGGCCTCCGCTTGGGTTTCGACGGTGTCCATCGTGGCCCTAACTTTTCAAAAGCGCTCGCAGGAGATAACGGATTTCCTGTGCCGCAGCCCTTTTTCGTGGGCCTTGTTACCCAAAGACTAGTCTATATGTATATATATATATAGTCTACGTCTTTATCAGTCCACCCCATATCCACATGAAACGAAAAAGAACTTCCAATTGACTAGCATGACATGAGAGCAGGAATACGCACCTGGTTGCCCGGTCTAGGCTACCCGGGAGTTCCCCAAAGAACCTTACAGCTTAAGCCGAAACACCGAACCCTAAACGCTTCACCTTACACCCTAAACCCTGAATCCTAAACTGTGAACCTTACATCCAAGACCTTAAGTCCCAAATCCTAAATCTTACACCCTGAAGCCCTATACCCAAAGTCCAAAACTCGTAGCCTTTTGCAAAGTGTGTGTTCAAAGATGGCTACGGTCTTGGCGTCGGCCTCAGGCTGGGAAGCAGATAAGTTGACAGAGTTGAAACGCAAAAGCAGCGGCCATCAGTCGCGGAATAGGTGGAGCGAAGACCTAGTTGTAACCATCTACTATCCTACGGTCTCCCATACTTATCATAGTTATATATAACGCCACTGTGTTGCATTATGCCTACCTACTGAAAATGTAGTCAGAAGGTAGCAAAATTTAGCGCACCGCCTGGTTTCGAAGGCCTAGCATGTGCATGGCAACTATGCTAAGTACAGTCGAAACTAGTCCTCTGCTCCAATAACCAGCGCCCCACTCCCTGACATATTCCCAATATACTAGCCTTCCAGAATGGGGAAACTATTCGTCATCAGGGGGGAATTGATTTTATTAGTAGGGGGAGGGGATTAGTTCTGTTCAAAACAGTTATACAGGGGCACCAATAGCAAGACATAGCGTTCTCTCTGTAACAGTAGTCACCCTAAACCCTAAACCCTAAACCTCAAGTCAGCAGCACAAACGGTATAATCCGAGCGCTCTGGCCAAACATGGGAGCATCAATGCTGTACTTGTGATAAGGATGCTGAAGAAAATAACACTGATCTAAGCCTAAACCCTAAATCCTAAATCCTAAACCCTAAACCCTAAGCCCTAAGCCCTGACCCTAAACTTCCCTAAGCGGTAGGTCTAACAACCATGGCTTTCGCAAGCAGATCCCTAAACCCAACACCCAACAACAAAGTTGAGGGCCTAGAATAACCAGGGGATTCTGGGAACCCCAACCTCCGGATCTTAATTTGGGGGTTGGGGTTACCAACATCATTTTATTGCAGAAGCCTAAGGTCACGCCCGAACGACCATGGTCGCTGGCAGTGCCAGCGATGTACGGGTGCTTGGAGGGGTTCAGGTTCACAGGGTTTGGGGTCTTACGCCCGGGGTTGTACGTCTGGGGATAGGGATCCCTCTATAAAGAACTCTAGGACAAGACTTGGTTCAAAAAGGAACGACCGCAGGATTTATGCTGCTTCTTCCCCAAGTCCACAGAGAATGTGTGTATCTAATCAATCTCTTTGAAATCCATATGCTATCGATTATACGGGTTGCACAGCTAGAAGTGGACGGGAACACTACATTGCAATTTGCAGCCAGTACATCATTGACCACCGCATGACTCGTAGGTGGTTCTGGTAACTCCAACCCCCAAACTAAGACCCTGTAAGACCAGAATTATCATATTATCATGCTGAGGTCCTCATCCTCCTATGAACAACCCAAGCACTGTACGCTTAAGCCGCGCAGTTTTGTTTGATGCCTCCCTCGAGATACCCCTCCTTCAAACTAGCATCAAGATCTCAAAAGGGAAAGGAATTTTTGCTGTAGGGCTCATAGGGATCATGTATATAAGGGGATTGTGGGAAGGAGATAGACATGGTATGGGTTAGCCCACCCACCCCCCCCAAAAAAAAAACATACACACACACACACAACAAAAAAATCACACGGAACCCCGAAACGGATCCTACAAAAAACATGTTGCGCTGTTGAAAAAAGGGAGCTACAGGTTATTTTGAGGGAGGGGAACGTTCTGTAGCATATGAGCGTATGAACGAAATTCACAATGCCCTCTGAACTGTCTGCAACGGATGCAATGGGATTTTGGCTTCTCTACATGGGTAGTATAGTTGTTGCCTAATGCAACCAGCAGATTTGACAACAGTAGCTTCAATTTGTTCATGGGCTCTGAATAATCCAACCGTGCTGAGGCTGAAGGCTCTTTGCTATGCGGGTGTTTCCAAAGATTGGGTCCACCTTTGGGGGGCCTTTTGATAGCGTGTATCCAATGCTAGGACCTTTTTCTTGCTACTGCCTGCTATACAACTATTGCCGACTATGGCTAACAGTTCTATCACTGCTGCTATTACCGCTCGTACTATCAACGTAATCACTGCGACTATAACACTGGGCTCAGGCTTTTCCTGGTGTGGGCAGGCGGTTACTGGCTACAACTGCTGTTGCCGCTCGACAAATTTTTGTGTTTCGTCAGGGCTTAGGCACGGAAAAGCCAAGCTACAACTACAAGCACGGAACATCCCATAGTCATAGCCTCATATTACGATCATAGATAAGACCAGTGTTTGGATGGCTTACTGCCAGGGCAAGGAATACCTGTGGAATCCTGTGCTATAGCCTCCTTTCAAGAGGACTCTAGTCTGTACAGGCTCCTTTTGGGAGTGCCATGTTAGTTGAGAAGATAAATCCTACACTAGTACTGTGCGCTGCCTAGGCTCTAAAGCATTATCCAGTAACCCCCGGACATCCGTCTTTTTAGGTTTCCATGTCGGCCATAGAATCGTGTCGCCGTACATGTGGCCGCTGCGGGGCCTAAATCACGATGATAGGGTTGTGGGGTATATTGCACTGCTCTAAACAAGAATTTGACTAGTGGCAGTCACATGGAAGAGACAGTGTGATCTGAAATTCAGCCTATCAATCAGAACATAGTAAACAGTGTTGCACAGGGAGTGAACGTTCGGGGCGTAAACGATTGGAATAGGAGTTTTTTTGATTTCTTATCTGAATGGCAATAGGGTCAGGAGGGGATACCGTTACAAATTAATCAGGGCTTCTACGTTACTGACATGGCTTTTGTCAAGATTTGCCGTTGTTCTTCCTACTGCGCTCGGCAGCGCGCTATATCTTGACTGAGTCTATTCCAATTTTGCGTCACGCTGTGGCAACCTCACCACCTTTCATTTCCGGAGTTGAATCATGTATCAGTCGATGGTATCCCTTGAGTACATTCAAGCCATGCAGGGTTTCGAATGAGTTGTCCTAATCCAAGGTGTGCAAAGGGCGCCTCTGCATCCAACCATCAAAGGTTGTTTGCTCAGGTTCATGACCGGAATCAAAATTCCGCAGCACACGCTAACAAACACAAGAAGGGGTGAAGGGTTCGAGTCAAGGCTGCCAAGAGGAGCCTTATCCCCTGAGCCCAGGACCCCAAGCAGCAAACCCTAAACCCTTAACTCTAAATCCTGGACCTCCTAACCCGAACCCTAAGTTTCAAGGGATCCAATGTAGTTACCTTTGGGGCGGTATCATAAAGGTTGCTTTTGCCCAGAGCCCATAACAAAAAACACGCAAATACCTAAGATTGACGCCTGAATAGCTAACAAGACTATCCCAGTCTCCACCTTATAATTCTTCTGTAGAGTATACCCCAAAACCCAATTCTACTTCACTGGGATCCTACACGGCAAAATCCCTACAAACCCATACATAATCATCACAGCTTCCATCTCAGTTTCCATGCTCTTTTCCATTTGATCTAAGGATCTCCCCAAACTCAAACCGGAGCTGCTTAGTAGCTTGGTAGCTAACCTTTAACCTTTTGGGGTATATATCGTCCTATTATAATACAAAGGTTAACCTTTTTGGGGCCAGGGAACTCAGCAACTAGGGTTGGGACTGAGGATGCTGCTTTCGCTTGGCTGGGCTCCTCGCTGGAAACAGCACGCCGTTTAGGCTTTTAGGGCTTTAGGGCTTGGGGTTTAGGGTTTAGGCTTTAGGGTATAGGGTTAAGGGCTTAGGGCTGTAGGGCTTTAGGGCTTAGGGTTTTAGGGCTTAGGGCTTAGGGTTTAGGGCAAAGGAGATTCTCCGTGGCCAACTTCAGTTCAGGGCTTCAGGATTAAGATTTGAGGTTTAGGGCCTAGTGTAGGGATAATCCGGAAGACGGGCGCTACAATCTCCACGGAAATCCCCAGATAGCTTTCAGGGTCCCTACGCATGCCCCTGTTTGGAGAGATTCCTGGCTGCAAGGGAGGTGAGTTTCGGACCGCCAGCTTGGGGTTGCGTGTTGGGCG